GCCCGTCGTTCCCAGAGCTCCTCCCAGGGGGACAACCCCCTGGCGCCAGGGTACCTGCCGCCTCACTACAAAGAGTACTACCGCCTGGCAGTGGATGCGCTGGCGGAGGGCGGGCCCGAGGCCTACAGCCACTTCCTGGCGACCGAGGGGGCACCCGCCTTCCTGTGTCCTGAGGAGCTGGACCACGTGAGCCGCCACCTGCGGCCGCCACAGTATGTTGCCCCGGAGCCCCCCGAAGGCAGCCCTCCCAACGTGGACATGGATGGCTCCTCGGGCACCTACTGGCCCATGAACTCAGACCAGGCGGTGCCTGAGCTGGACCTGGGCTGGCCCCTGACCTTCGGCTTCCAGGGCACGGAGGTCACCACACTGGTGCAGCCACCGCCCCCCGACAGCCCCAGCATCAAGGATGAGGCTCGGAGGATGATCCGCTCTGCCCAGCAGGTGCGCTGGCCTGGGGCAGTGGGCAGGACGGCCTGAGCTGGACCTGAAGCATGCGGAGTGTGAGGGACAGGAGCGTGCAGCTCCGGAGGGTGGGGGGTGGGGCAGCTGCAGCGAGGGTGCCCTGGCCACCTCTAGGGTCACCCAGGGCTGGCTTGCCCCAGGCCTCAGGCTGCCCCTGCCTCGGTTGCTTGTCCGTGGTGATGGCCAGTGCCCGTGACCCAGCTGGGGGCTCCTACCCTCACCAGGCAGTTGGTCCACAGCAAAGGGACCTGTTACACCAGGGAGACAGGCAGCAGATCAGATGCTGAAGACCGTCCTCTGCCTGCGGCCTAAGGGTCAGGGGAGTCCAGACGTCTGTGGGGCGGGTGGGACTACGAGGGTTTCACGCACCTGCTCTGCCCAGGAGGGAGCAGCCACCCCCAGCAGATGCAGGCCCTGTGCCTGCCTAGGGCTCCATCACGGGCCACCCACCTGACCAGCAGCCCTACACCCCCTCTGACAGCCCTCCTGACCCCATTCCCCAGTGGGACCCCTCCCCCCCGGGATGGCCAGTGGCAGTTTTGCAGTTTGTGGGTGATTCAGAGGCCCCTGGGCTTGGCTAGAGAACGGTGGGGACAGCAGAGGGTTCTGCCCTTGTCCTTGGCCCGCCCCGCAGGTGGTGGCCGTGGTGATGGACATGTTCACCGACGTGGACCTCCTCAGCGAAGTGCTGGAGGCCGCCGCGCGCCGCGTCCCCGTCTACATTCTCCTGGACGAGATGAACGCGCAGCACTTTCTGGACACGGCGGACAAGTGCCGCGTCAACCTGCACAACGTGGATGTGAGTGACGGGGGAGGGGGGAGGGAGATGAAAAAAAAACGGGAAGGGCCCTCCACCGATACCTGAGCCTCTCCTCCCCAGTTCCTGCGCGTGCGCACTGTGGCCGGCCCCACCTACTACTGCCGCACGGGCAAGTCCTTCAAGGGCCACGTGAAGGAGAAGTTCCTCTTGGTGGACTGCGCGGTGGTGATGAGCGGGAGCTACAGGTGCGCGCCCCGGCCCCTCCCACCGGGCCTCCTCCCGTAGCCATAGCGGTCACAGCCTGGCTGCCCCTCCTGCATCTCTGCAGACTTGGCACCCCAGGCACAGGCTGCCGAGCCCCGCCCCTCCCGCTGACTCGGTCCCGCCCCTGACTCTGGCCCCGCCCACCCGCAGCTTCATGTGGTCCTTCGAGAAGATCCACCGCAGCCTGGCGCACGTGTTCCAGGGGGAGCTGGTCTCCAGTTTCGACGAGGAGTTCCGGATCCTCTTCGCACAGTCTGAGCCACTGGTGCCCTCGGCCGGGGCGCTGGCCCGCATGGACGCTTATGCCCTGGCTCCATACTCCGGGGCCGGGCCCCTGATGGCCAGTCAGATGCCCGGGGCGCCAACTCCTTTCTCCTTCCCCAAACGAGCGCACCTCCTGTTCCCACCGGCCCGGGAAGACGGCC